AAAGCCAGAAATATTTTGAAAAAAAAAGGGGGGGGGGAGGAAAAAGTATAAAATTAATTTTATAGAGAAAACTGATGCATATTCTGAGAATTTTGAATAATCTGAGACAATTACATGGGAAAAACGCTTACTATGAAAAAATTAAAAAGAAGACATTTTAATTAATTACACAGCTAATTTTGCTTTTACTAAGAGCTGTTTCGTAAATTATGCTTTATAGCTATATACCTTGTTTATTTTTCAGATTAAAAATATTGTATAATAAGTTGCCAAAATGAAACTTTATAATATGACAGGGAAAAAATAAAATGTTTTATTTTAATGTTATTTTTTAAATATAATTCTAATATATTACCATTATTTTAATGAAATTTATCAATGTTATGATGTTTTAAAAAAATTCGCCGAAAAATTCTCAGATCTCGGAATTAAAAATTTTCTATAGAAACTTACCTTAGAATGGCCAAAATGTTGACAAGTTCTCAAATTTAAAACCATTTAATAGAAGAATTTACAACCCCCAAAGCGAAAAGTTGTTTAACCCTTTGCGACACGCATATTTAAAATATATTTTAATCTTTAAAAAAATGCCTTAGAATAAGTCAGATGGACTTACTTAAGTGCCTTTAAGGCTTGAAAAAAATCCTGCGCTTTTATTTTTTACGGTGGAAGGTGGGATACCGTTTGTCCCACCATGCAACTAGTACATGTCTTATAGCATATTGGTGTATAGCAGGAAAAAAATGTGGAATGAATAAACAAAATAAAGCGTGCACTCTAAAATATTTATAATAAACACACTAAAATGCATTTTGTACTTTTTGCATATATGCATGACTTGTAAAATTTTGCATATGCACATTTTGCATATAGTATATATTTAATATTTTTAAATTTTAGGAACAAAAGAAAATATTTTCTTGAATATTATTTTAAGATTAAAATTTGATACTCGTACATATGATACTAAATAAAATATTAAAAATTGGCACTTGATTCAAAAACATTTATATATGATTAAAATTGAAAAAAAAATCATTTTTCATGAAACTTTGAAAAAAACATGTTGTTTCATTCTTTTGTAAGCATAGAGGCACTTCACGTTTCACAGATCCAAAATGTTCGTTGTTCTTCTTTCGATATGCTGCAATATGCACATCTTCTCCTGCTCGTTCTCTTTGGCATTTTATTTACATTTTTTAGTCTTTTTTCTGGTTGTACGAACGGGTTTTAGTTTTTATTTGAACTGGGGATTTCAGTTTTCTTTTCAGCTCTTTCTTGCCTGCAAGTGCCATTAGACCTTCTATAACTGAGGGAAGAAAATCTTTCATTGTTTTTACATCATGATCAGGTTCGCGAACAAACTTGACTAAATGTGTTTACTATACTCGCATCTAAAAAGTAAAAAAAAAATCATGTGCCACCATTTCTTGCTTTTGCGATCTATTTCATATAGTCTGTCAGTTGATCAAACAAACTTGACTAAATGTGATTACTATACTTGCATCTAAAAAGTAAAAAAAAAATCATGTGCCACCATTTCTTGCTTTTGCGGTCTATTTCATATAGTCTGTCAGTTGCTCAATCGGTCGACATATCCCATATTCTTATTGTATGGAATAATGCTGTTTGGGCACAGTACTTTTTTTTTTTTTTTGTCTTTTCATCTCGCTCTTTTCTATTAATTTCTTTCATTTCAGTTGCCTTTTCCAAGCAAGACAGGATAGAAACAGGATCTTTTATCCTTCCATTTTATGCAATAAATTGAATCATCGCTAACTGAAAAGTCTATATATTCTCTTGACATAAATTTGTCTTTTAAAATTTGGGTAGATACTTCCGATCCATATTTACAGTGCCACATGCATAGATGGGTCTGTGTCTTTAAAAAGCAAAACAAATTATAACTACTTCCCTTTCTGCTTCAGCAATAACTTCAACCTCAGTTATTCTCTCCTGGATTTCAATTTCATCTAAATCAGAACTGACATCTGAAGCATTTGAGTCGCAATCGGATGGCAATTCAGCAAAAAGATCCAAAGCTTCCTGAGTTGTTAATTTTTTTGTAGACATTTTAGCACATCAGAGCATACAACGGATGTAAAAGCGCGCACAATCACGAAAAAAGTGGATGCGAAAAAGAAAAGAAAAAATAATCGTGAGTGCTGCCATCTATTGAACGGAAATTCAAGTGTGTGGTGGGACAAATTTTAACCCACTTATTTCAATTGCAAAATTAATGTTATAAAATATTGAATCCAATTAAGATTTTTGAAAATAAAATACTTTTGAATATTAAAAAGAATCATACATATCATAAATTGTATACCAAAATTTTTAAAATATGGAAAAATGCGAGATACATGGATATCACTCTTTTGATCCTTTTTTGAATATTTTTTGCTTATAAACTTAAGCCCTGGTATAGTAGTAACATATACTGAGAAAATAATAACTAAAATAGATTATTTTTAAAAGATTAGAAAATTTCTAACGGAAATTGCTAAGTGAGAAAATAAATATTAATTAGGTGGGACATATTTTGACCCACCATGCTGCAAAAGGTTAAGAGCTCTTTATTAGAAAAAATGAATTTTGAAATGCTTATGTTTCACTTCTTGCTTAGAAACTCGAGTATACCATCATTTATGTTAGAAATATAAACAAATTATAACCCATGAACCCATTCAAAAGATAACCATATATGTCAGTGAATCGCTAAAAATATTCCTCCAAAATGCTAATTCACACTCAAAACGGGAGTCGTAAAAACAGAGAGAAATTTCAGATGATTAAAATTAAGGATCTTCTACTGATTTGGACCAAAATTAAGGACTTTTAAGGACCAAAAATCGATTTCAAAAAATTTAAGGACTCTTAAGGACCATACGAACCCTGAACAAAGCTCATGCAAACCACCAGTTTTCTTCTTGGTTTGATTTATATGATTATGGCAAAGCCGGCTTAGGACTATCCACCTAAAGAGAGGGATGACTTTGTGGAGGGTTTTCTAACAGAAATTGGCTCATATCTATGTTCTACAGGAAGAGAACCAAAAATGCTTATTCTACCAGCCTGTTTGTGAGGAAGCAAACCCAGGTCAAGATACCAATGTTTAGTGATTTTACAACTCAGCTCCTGATGAAAGGGGATGCATGCTGGAAATCCATAGTGAGTGTGGAGGAAAGCATGTTGACAAATGACATATTCAAGTCTTTCATTTACAATAACAGTGTTGATTAAAAGAATCAGTCCTGAACATATTTGAACCATCTCATATATATATATATATATATATATATATACATAGTAATTGTTTTTCTGCATAATTAATTTTACCTTGATATTTTCCCAACAAAATTTTATAAAATAAGTGTTCTAAAATTAAATCAAAGTTTCACTCAGTCCAATCTCACATACATTCACAGACATAAAAACTATGTCAACTATTAGTTATTAAGAATGTAATTGATTAGGTATCTTCACTTGTTTTGTTTATAAACTTATTTGTTATTTTAGTTTTGTTTATTATTTTGTTATTTTTGTTAAAATGTCTTGAAACCGGACATCCAGAATTCCACTCCACACATACTGAAATTGAAAAGTTAATTTCTCTCACTAAAGTTTTCTTCGAGTCAAATCCACTTCGTTTTCCAAAATAATTACAATCACAAAACTGAAACTATAGATCCTTCAGTTCACTACTTGCTGAAATTTACATGCACTGTTTACAGATCAAACTACTTGACTACCTTTCTGGCTCTGGATTCACAATGCAGATGATATATTCATATTTTTTGATGGTAGTAAAGGTAATTTATTCCAGAATTTAACTGTTCTGAATTTAAGCGATCCAAAGTTTGTCTTTCAGAATCTTTCCTTTCAATGAAAGTTATTTAAATTCAGTTGCCAGAGCATTTTCTCCCACACTCATTGATAAAGCTCTTAAAACATTTTCATCTTATCAGCAAAGAAGACATTCCACTATTAGAAATTATATTTATAACCTTATCATCATTCCATTTCATCCTTGTATAGCTTTCAAAACTGCATGGATTCCCAAGAAGTTCAACTTTAAGGTAATTTTCTCAAGTATATGTAAAACTCATTGTTCAATCTTTAAAGATTTAATTTTTAACTTTAATTCTTGGGGCATATCTTGTCAGTACGATTTGAGATATATTGGACAAATTAAAAGAGTGTTAAAATTTTGAATCAATAAACATGAATCTTACATCCAAAAAGGATAATTAAACAAATCTTCAATCACTAATCACAAATGAAAACTTAATCGTCATTTTGACTTTAATTATCCACACAGCTTCTTCTTAGCTAATTGAATTTCCTTCAAGTCTTCCACATTAACAAAAACTCATCTCCTTTAGTTAATGATATTAACTTCAATCCACTCCTTCCTAATGCTTTTAAAATTATAATATCTTAATTTTTCATGCTTCATTATTATTTTCCATGAAAGATGGCACTACATTCATGTTTGCTTTGCTCTGCTCATTGTTCTTTATATAAATATGAACCTCACCCCTGCCTTTTATGTAGATTTTTTTTTTGCTAATGAAGAAGATGGAGCTGTGTTTGATTGTGCTTGAAATAAATAGAGTTTTACTTAAAATCCATGCCAAAATAACATTGCTGTTTCACCTAATTTTAAGTTACAAACATGTTGTTTGAGAAAATTACATCATGGGCACTCCTGACTTTTAGCCTTGAGTAGGCAAATATAATCTAAAATAAGTGCCATTGCTCTAAATCTAAAGAAAGCACAAACTTTCTGAAACAGGGGTACTTATCTTATTTCACTGAATCTCATCCACTAATTCGATTATTATCAATAATCCTTCATATTACACACTTCTCTGATAACCTATTTTCATAGGTTTTTCAAAGGCCCAGAGTTACATTATCATTGACCTTTTTAGAATATTCATAAAAGACTTCTATAACTTGAGCGATGTGATTTACACGAGAAATTGAATTTTACATTTTTAATGTTTTATAAATATTTTATTTTCTCTTTCCAATACATCAAGAGGAAACCAATGTTTATTTGTACATTTTGCCTTTTCTGAAAACATGCTTTTACATTTTTGTGCAAATACAATTTATTTTGACAATACAAAACAATAATTTATACAAATTTAAGGCAAATGTCTTTCAAAAATTGGGAACAACCCATATTATCAATTTTTACTTCATATAAGTCAATTTCTGTATAAAATAACAGCAGAATATTATTATGAAATGGCAAAATATATGGAAAATGGAACACAATTTACGAAACTTAACAAAGATGAATATGAACACCAATGATCATGCTGGCATGAGCAAAATCTACATTTTATGTAACATTTTTTTACAGAACATTAAAAGTAATGTCAGTGATAAAAATGTGAAAAATTTAAGATCTTCGATCTACCACTTTCCACCACTTTTATGACCATGGCCCCCTCGAAATTTCTTTCCTTGACCTCGCCAGCCACCACCATGGCGATCACCTGCAATATAAATATACATTAATTTAAAAATATCATAACATAAAATATTAATATACAAATACAACAGATGAAAAATCAATATATTTGATGTAAATGTGGATTACAGATTTTCTCACTCAAACTACTCAAAATTTCATTAAAAGCTCAAGATGATTATTATTGGTTCCAGATGATTCTGGATGTTATACAGAAGTGGTTACCATAAAACAATTCAGGATACATCAATAATACAATTTCAAAATTGCTAAAAATAATTATTCATTATTTATAAACAATTCACAAATTTTACTCAAACTTCCAGCTGAAATTCAAAACAAAGTAACATAAACACTTCATATTTTAAAACTCATAAGATTTTACCAATGATTTTTAAAAATCTAATCAAATAAAAGAGCATGGATGACACAAATGTTAATGAATGATTCGTTTGAAAATCATTTCATACCCAAAACTTGGCAAATTCGGTTGGTTTATGTGATAACACAAAAATTCTCCTGATTTGTAGACAAATTTTCAGCTCATACTTCACCTAAAGTTTTAGTGAAAGATAATGTATCTGTATTATTCTTTCTTCCAAACTGTACATCCATCATTCAGGCTATGGATACAAATATAAAGGACCATTTTTAAATTCCATGTTAAATTTCTTGAATAATGGCAAAACTATTTGAACATTTTTGAAATATTTTAGCTTAAAATCTGCTGTGTGGAGCATTGCAAGATTGTGAACGAATGTGTCTCCAAATACTTTAAAAATTGCTTGGCATAATTTATGGTCAGCTGCCTTATTTCATGGTGAGGATGATGAAGATGATAGACGCAGGTAATAAATGAAGATGATAGAACAGAAAATTTTCAATGCGATGACAATGCCCCAATCATCAATCAACAGACGGCAAAATCTGTAGTATGCTTCTATATCCAGAAAATACCGCTCCTGATAGTGAAGAAAGTAACAGAGAGGTTACTGAAAACGAAAAAGTTTAGATTGACAAGTTAGTCTGAATTCTCCATATAGCAATTACAAAAATTGAACAATGGAACTTTGAACAAAAAGTTTTGTCTATCAATAGAATTAAAGAGAAAATATTAGCACAAAAAAGGAATTGAAAGAAATGTTTAATAAAGTGAACAAATAAATATTAAGCTTTATTTTGTACTGTTCTGTTATAAGGGTACACATACACATGTTCATGTATACATCTATAAATATGTAGGACAAATATATGTGCATGTATATATATACATATACATGCAAACACACATTCAAACATTTCTGAATTTGGTCCCGATAACAGAACTGTTACACTCCCTTTACTGGTAAATTTTGATAACTTTTAGATAAAAAATGCTTCATTATTTCATAAATCATAATTTTATAATTTCTACACACCATCTTACAAGATTTAAACTGATGATCTAATACTAAAAAAATCTCAAAACAAGAATCGCCGAAGTCCCGACGAGTCCGGATTTCGGACTTTGTATTGTACTACAGAATTGGTGAATTTGGCACGCATTCGCTTTATCTTCTTACTTTGGTTTTTATGTAAAGGCCTAGCTGTAGGTCTGAGTGAAATATATACAGTCCAAAGTCATTAATCCGGACTCGTCGGGACTTCGGCGATTCCGGATTATAGATCATCAGTTTAAATCTCGTAAGATGGCATGCAGAAATTCTAAAATTAAAAATATGAAACCGTAATTTATGAAATAAAGAACAATTATGATCTAAAAGGGTATCAAAATTTACAAAAAAAAAAAAAAAAAAAAAAAAAAAAAAAAAGCTTAATATTTATTTGTTTACTTTATTAAACATTTCTTTCAATGTAAGTTGTTTTAAGTTGCTTCGTTTTATGTGATAATACTTTCTCTTTAATTCTATAAACAGACATAATTTCTTGTTCAGTTACAAAGTTCCGCTGTTCAAGTCCCGTTAATGTGCTGTGCCGAGAATACCGACTAACTTTGTCATCGAAATTTTTTTTTTTCGTTTTCACTAACCTCTCTGTCACATTCTTCATGTCTTTATCCATTTTTTGCAGCAATTCCACTTTTTGTTTGTTGGACATCGAAACATAATTTCGTTTTGTAGATCCTTTGGAAGTTCCAGCATCGGAAATTCTATCTGACATAATTGAAAGTTCAAGTTTACTTTTATAAAATTGCTCTTACAGTCTGCAAAAAATAATAAGCAGGATCCAATTCAAAGTTTAAGGAACAATGCAATCATTAACATTAACTGAACTATATAATTAGATAATTTTAGCTTACACCATCTGTTATACATTAAACGCACAGGCGAAAACGTGTTCTGCACTTGCGCACATGCATATGCGCAGTAGTCAAGGTCTTACGCGCACGCGTAAAACGCCTGTGCGCATGTGCCAACGCGGCGCATGCGCAGAAAGTTTTTAGCTTTGAGGTCCGGATTATGGGTGTCCGAATTAACGACTTTTGACTGTATTAGTTTTGTTTTCAGATATTCCTGTGGCTTGTCTGTTGAAAAGCAAACTATGCTTTTCAACAAACAGCTACAACTCCTCGGCTAACAGTGGGATGGAGCAGGAGCACGTATTCGGTGCGGCTGTAATGCAATTGGTTGGTTGGGTGCAGCTGAAAGAGTATGTAGTTGATGCTATTGTTTTGCCTGTTTTGAAGGGGCAGCAGTAGAGGAATAATATGTCCAGGTCACCAATGAGGTGGCATTTACTTGATGCTGCTACAAATTGCATTTATACCTTTTGATCTTGTGATAACATCTACAACTGGTGTTGCGAATCAATTGCTCCTGGTCTATTCAGCTAGACACTTTAATGCCGATGTTTGTCAGGATGCCTATTGAAAGCTTCTGTTCTTTTGATTGATGCTGCTTGGCCAAGGATAGAACTTGTGAACCTCTGATCAATGGCTTTAAGGCTATAGCGGTCATGCCCAAAAAAAAAAAAAAAAAAAAAAAAAAAAAAAAAAAAATGTCATTGATGCGATTGATTTCAGCGATAACTTTCTCGGGCAGTGCTCGCAGTGTCCACCAATAAATGAAGATAAATAACTTATGCATTATCATATGGCAACAATTTGTTCTTCGTATTTGTGATCTTCATATGTAATGCTCGATTTTACCTCTAACTGAAAAGATATTTACGACACCAAATTCCAGGTTTTACTTACAGTCAACATTCAGATGTTCTGAATTAACATACATACTCAAAAGAGATTTTCAGAAAACTTAAAAGTATTTTTTTTACACAGTCTCTAACAACAATTCACTTAGGGATAAGAGGCTTTCAGGAAATGGGGGAAAACTTTTCCCCCCTCTCATGATCCTGTAAACAGTATGCATATGCACTTTAGTGTGCACATATTGGCCTTTCTGCCCTGCGATACCAAGTCAGAAAAAGCATCACATAAATTTGTATTATTTGTAAATAGTTTTTACAAATTTTTTGAAAAACATTTAGAATTATAACTTATAAAATTTTTGACATCATCTTAAAGTAGATGTATTTCTAAGCCATACCTGCAAAAAATAATTTTCTATTCAAAATTTTATAAGATATAATGTGAATTGACATTTTGGCCCATTTTGAAGTCTGGCATATTTAACAGAATAACAAAGTTTGGCATATTTATTATAATAATGAATTATATAAGTGAAAATAATAAAAATGTGGGTTACACACTTCGTTAAAATTATTTTTTGAAAGTATGAATGATGACTTTTTTTCCCGCTTGTGAACAATGAAAAAAAAAAAAAAAAAAAAAAATGCGGCAAGATAAATTTTAAAATTTCTCCATAAATTTCTCACCAAAAGTTACAAAATTTAATATCTAGGCATAATTTGAGTCGTAGAATCCAAATATGGAAAAAAAAGTTGTATGGTATTTTAGAAAAAGTACAATTTTGTGTCAAAATACTTATGTTAGAGCAATGTTATATATAAATCAAATATATATGCTAATCGTGCTTTAGAGACATGTTTGGTTTATTATGAGGCGTATTCAAAACTAAGTAACGTTTGGGAAAAAAAAAAAAAAAAAAAAAAAAAAAGATAAAACTTTTTTTTGAATCCATTTTATTTTTACATGACATACATGTCTTAACTTTTTTCACATAGTTTCCACCAGATCAAACACTTGTCATACAGGACAGTTTTTGTATACCACGTCAAAGAAACTTCCCGCCAGTTTCGATAACCACACTCCATCAGCATTTTCTTGTGTCATCGTCAGATCCAAACCCTTGCCACCAAGCGCTTCATGTGCAGGAACAAATAGTAGTCGGATTTCTGGCAATGAAAGTGTTGTATTGTGACGCTCTGTCTCATGACATGCTTCCTCAACTTTCCTTACCAACATGGGTGAGAACAGATGGCCCCCTCCGAGCCTCAGCGTGGACATTTGTTCGACCTGCTTAACTTCTTACTTCTTTCTCACCATTCCTCACTTATTGCGTATTCACCGTTAAACTTCTGTCACTTGATATAAATTTCGGCCGGTTTTCCTCCTCGCTTTCACAAATTAATCACAGCACGAATCTCACAGCAGCGGGGAAAACAGTCAAAACATTTTGAATTGCCCATCACTGAACAACACACCATAGACACCAAATGCCGCATTGACGTCAGTGAACCCGAAAGATTATTGCGCATTCGCAGGACGCCTACCCAGAGCTGCGACGCGCTAGAATGAAGGTACTTAGTTTCCGAATACCTACGAATTCGGAAAGCACTCGAGGGCTATCTGTTAAGGGAGGGCTTTCGTGGAGGACTTTTTTATTTTTCGGCCGTAATGCTGAGAGGGTTAACAAGCTTCTCGACCCCTTACCATCCAACTTCAAACAGAAAGAAAAGAAGAAAGATTTAATGCTGCTCTGATGCTGAATACATCAAACCACCTCAGAATTTTTACAAGACTGAAACCCCTACCATACCTACTTTAGCTAAAGAAAAAGTCTCTAATGCTATGACTGGTGTTAGTCCATTTTAGATGCATTATGGAAGATGGCCTAATAGCCCATTATCTGTCTTGAAAACGTCATGAACTGACAAAACCTCTATTCCCCATGGACAACTAAACTAAATTCAGTAACTTATTATAATATGGAGGACTTATAAATTCAGTAACTGCATTACAATATGCAGAACTTACCGCTATTAGCAAGCAACCAGCATATGCCTTCAATAACTATATAAGACTTAGAGTTACGAGTTACAGTCTTAATCTCTGATGGTGAAAACAAAATTTATGCAAAATGGACTAGACCTGCTATTATCATAAAAAATCTGATGTGTACACCACATGACTTCCTTGTACGAAATATTAAATTATACGCATTTTTTTTCATTCATTTAAAACTTATTAGTTGAATTAAACCTACTTCGCCGACAGCGCATAAACCACAATAGAATAAATGCATTCTTTAAAATTCACTTTGTTTACCATAGCGACACTCTGGCGCTAGGTTTACTTAACAGTATTATATTTCGTTCATATTATAACTCATAATGCACAAAATTTTATCATTTAAAGAATAGATCTAATCGTTTGCCACATGTTCTATTTCAAATACTATAATAAAGCTAGAACATTGTATAAAAGAAATTAAGCAAACAAAACAAAAAAAACAGTTTTTCACAGACGATTGAGTATTTCTCATTCAATTAATTCAGTTCTCACTTCGCGACAAGGCAAAAATACATAAAAACTCAAAATATCTGTATTAAAAATTACGAAGTAAATCTTAAACACTTATTTCCTCGAAAAAATTTCCAGAAAGGATTAAGCATGATTTAATTCGCAAATAAATGAAGGCGTTATTCTTGTGTTGCGAAGCTTAGTCTCTCTAGATTGGCAAAAATCTACAATTCTGCTGTTTCAAATGTAAACAAATATGTCCGCCATGTTATTTAAAACTTAACCGCACTAAACAGCTTTTAAATTGTTGATAATTGTACAAAATATTGCTTCCAGAATTCGAAAGGCATAAAAACTTAACCGGAAGATAAAAACAACATAATTCAATCATTTTTAAAGCAAAAAATGTACAATTTACAAACATATAAGAGTAAAAGAAAACTGAGATCACTGAGCCGGGTATCAGAGTGGATATATTATAAATATATTTATATACGTTTGGCCCGCCGATTGAAACCAAAATACGAGGTGCACATCTACATGTTATAGTAGTCTTATATAAAAATTTCAACATTGAGGCTACTTGTTTTCAGTTATGCGGATACGTTCGTACAGACGCCACGAAAAATCTCTTCAGAATTATTTTAAAGCAGTTTTTTAGTTTTTTTTGGAGGAAATAGTCTGTCCTTACGTATAGATATCACACAAAAACATCGTTAAATTGCATTCGAAAGTGGTCAAAGTGGATATTTTCGTTGAAATATGCTGCCTGAAGCTTTTCGCGATTACAATACTTCCTTTTTACTTTGTACAAGGAAGTAAAAAGCATACTGATTACAGTTACATAGTGCAAATGTGTCATGACAGTTCGAAGCATGTTCACACAAACAAGGTACAAGAGTGGTATAATGGAGACATTGATTTTGGAGACGTTCAAAATATTCCAAGAATTGTTCCACTGAAAGCAAAAGAACACTATTCTGATGAAGAGTTTGATCTTAACACATCATGAACTATGCAAGAGAAAAGAACTTGGGGAAATTTTGAGAAAGTATGGAAATCTAAGATCTAGTATTCTGAAAATTGCCAGTTAGAGATAAAAAAATTGAACTGTAAGATTATGTGTCAACTACTGTTACCTAAACTTACAAATCGAAATTGATGTTTTTTCAATGTAAAATGTTGCAGACCTAATTTACCAAGTATCAAAGCCCAATTACCTCACTTTGATTGATATTCTTAAAGATACAGGTAAATACAACTAAACCCTGAGTGCCAACACTTGACATCGTTTGTGAGACGCTGAGAACATTATGCTTTTAGTTACCCTTTGGGTTAAGAAACACGACTACAACTTTCCACAGAACTATGAACAAACTTTTCGACAACCATACAGACTATGCTAAGTCTTATATAGATCATGCAATTTAATGACATGATTACATTTTCCAGTGATTGAAATATGACTGAAAGTAACTTTTGAGACATTATGAACATCTGACTATTTCATTTGAACACTTTTCTTTTAAGAGCTAAAATGCTGGACTTTGAAATTTTTCTAATGTTAAGGACATATGATTGATATTTAGTATATGATAATTTTGACATAGGATAATATTTTGATAAAGTACGATAAGTTTAATGTTAATGATCGATTTGCATTATTTTGTTTATGTGCTTAGGATAAGTTTAAAGATTTAGTTTTGAGGAAGATTAATTGAATGTTACATCTTTTAAACACTTCCAGATGGGCATCCCTTTTATGCAATCCCTATGAATGTCTCTCACAGCCAGGCATACACCCCATGCACCACTGAAGAATGAACGTAGAGAACAGATGATGCACGTGTGCACTTTAAGATGAGCCATTTTTTAAAGACCACTAGAAGGTGTCCTGTGTGCATTACTTTTGAACTGAGCATGATTTTAGGATCCTGATCTTTAAATTTCATCACATTCTGCCTAACTTTGGTGTCAGTTCTTGCGAGGTAGGAGTGGGTCTATGGTAAACAAACAGAGCTTGGCTCTTTAACTTGCCACGTGATATAAACATTCGCATTTCTGATATCTCTCTGAAATCTTAAAAAATCTTTTTACCTACTGTGTAAGATTCTTTTACGTCTTGTGTTGCTTTTATTGCTTATATTTCATGTACTACCCTTCTTATTTTGGAAACCCTTGATTTCAGTTTATTATGGCGAGCAAATGTTATTTAATCAGAGGAAGGATTTATTTGCATGGTAAATGAATAAATTACTTACACAGATGAGACCGAAGATTCATTTTCAAAAGAGTTAGAGATTGCAATTTCAAGTGATTCTGATACGGATATTTTGTCAGAGACTGAACTCACTGGCATGCCTTCCACTTCCTGCGAAAGATTTTGTTACTTCTTATAACAGTCTTTCTTGTATTTTTTAAATTAATTTTAAAGTTTATAAATGCCTTCTCTCAAACTTAATAATTTAAATAGTGCTTCTGAAAATTATTCTCAATTTCTTATGACTTCTAAGTTTTTTTAAAAAATTTTTAAATATTTTTTATTTATTTATTTTTATTATTATTTTTTGTGAGTTTTTTTTCTCTAAAGCTAGGCTTAGAGATGCAAAACCCCACTCTGTGGGACTATTCCTTTTGACTCCCATCTGCCTTGACGTATGTCTTAAACAGAGGTGCACCATCTTGGAAAGGTTAATGATAACGATTATTGTAAACAGTCTTTCTTGTATTTTTTAAAATTAATTTTAAAGTTTATACATTCCTTCTCTCAAACTTTGGAGTAATTTAAATAGTGCTTCTGAAAATTATTTCTCAAAGTAAGCAAATTTTTTACCATATTATCATGTGAAGTAAGGGTAAAAGATATTAAATGTTAATTTTAATGTATATGATAGCTTAAGTAATAATCTAAAATGGTACCCAAAACTTGATGCTAGGACTTCCAAGTTCTGTTTTTTTTTTTTTTTTTTTTTTTTTTTTTTAAAGTTTTTTCTTTAAAGCTAGGCTTAGAGATGCAAAACCCCACTCTGTGGGACTATTCCTTTTGACTCCCATCGCCCGAGGTATGTCTTAAACAGAGATGCACCATCTCGAAAGCGTTAATGATGAAGATTATTGAATTTTTATTGAAATAATTTTAATTCAAATGAGTAAGAACTGGTTAATTAAGGTAAAAAATTACATAAATATTAGCTTTTTTTGTTTCAAGAAATGTTTGCCTATATGGATTTGACAAATCATTGAAAGATGCAATCAAATCATCTTGGGGGTGATGCCATGATCCTGTGAATAGCATGCATGCATTCGCCTCTCTGTTCCATGATACCAAGTCAGAATAGACATGACGAGAAGGGGATACGATAAAAAAGACTTGTGCATGTTATCGTGCAAACCAAAAAAAAAAAAAAAAATATTATGTTATTGTGAATTATATCTGTTTAGTTGCTTGTATTAAAAATAAAGTGCTGTCCTGTACTATGCGTGTATGATTTATCCTATGTTGTACATGTCCATATGCCACATCATGCACATGTTAATATGCCCAAAACCCACTTCCCGATAAAAGTCTCGCACCCTCCTTAAAATGACGTTCAACGTTATCCTTCACTCAGATTGTTCATTCATCACAGGTTATTTTTCAAATGATGGAATAGAAAGAAATCACTGGCATCCAGTCTAAAAAATAAGGAAGAAACGTAATTTCAAAATCAAAAACAAAAGTAAAGGCTGCTCATCTTTTAATGATTGTATATGAAGAGGCAAACCTGCCCATCAAAATTCTTTACATACTCACACAAATTTGCTAAATGTTGTTCATTTTTTAGTTAAAACTCAATAATAGTATAATGCCATTACTTTTTTCTGATAATTGACAAAAGCCCTAGTTCTGCATGTGTCTATTAGTAGAGATTTGACTATCAACATCAGTTTATGACATAAGAGATCATTTCAAGTAAAATACAGCACATACCTCTACCACCACCTGCACCTCCCGGTGATCTTTTCATCCAGTTTGGCATTTCTACAGGTGGTCTCTGCTCTTTGGGTCGACCACCTCTGTCAGGTACCTAGAAGGACAAATATAGCAAAATTATTACAGCTAAGGAAAAGTATTTAAAAACCATTATTAACAAAAAAAAGTTAGAATTCTAAATGGAGTTTTTAATATAAAAATAGTTTAAATGATCTATTAATGATAGAAGAAAAATTATTAAGAATTTTTTAGCAAAATCTACTAAAAGTTCAAAATAAGCTTGCCCCCTCCCAAAAAAAAAACCCTAAGAAATGCATATTTATTTATTATGGCAATAGCTTTCTGATAAAGAAGCATAGCATATGTTATGGAATCGAATAATTGTTTGACAGTATACTCTAGAAGTGAATATTTTGTAACATAAAACAAACTGAAAAATTATTAAATAGATAACATGGATGATTTATTTCAAACAAACAATATAGCACTTATCATATTATTTATTAATGAATAATTTCCTATTTCCATGGAAAGAGCTTATTTAAACTTTGCCCCATGAAAAATACAAAATTATTTTGTGGCGAATATTTAAAATAACACATGTAATAATAGAAGATTAAAGGAATGTGAATAAAATAGCAAAATAAAATGAAATAAAACTGGTTTCTTAAAACTGATTTCCCTCTATAACTCTCCAGTGGGCAATAGTGAAAATTTAACTGTGAAATATTGCAGCCACATTCCATAATATTGATTCTTTTGTATAATAAAACAGGCTGGCTGCATGGAATTTTCAAATCTTCAACATGTGCAGTGTAAATATGAGTAAGTTTTCCTAAGTATTCTATGAAATACTCTTTTCCCTTAATTAGGTAGCTTTGACTTAGTTAATGGATCCAATTTAATCATATTGTTCAATAAGTTAAAAAGTTGAGTAAAAAGAACAATATAAATTTTAAAACAGCCCAGCAATTTATTAAGTAAATCTGACAAAAGATATTGAAATGATAACACTGTATTATTACATTATTAGAGTGAAATAGTAATACAGTCAAGTACCGAAAATCCGTGTTGCCTCTCAAAATATAAACATTCAGTATATAGGTTCTGGAAATCATAACATTGAGTATGTGTGCGTGTGTGTGATTATGGCAAAGCCTCGAGGGCTATCTGCCTGAGGGGAAGGATGCCTTCCTGGAGGACTTTCTAAGGGAAACTGGTTCGTACACATTACACATGGGGAAAACCACGAAAACACCCATGCAGCCAGCCCGTTCGTGGGATTCGAACCTCAGACCGCACTGTTCAGCGACTTTACCGCTCAGCCGCTGGTGGGCCAACATTGAGTATGAAATATCGAAGAAAAAATACTTACCGAATAATAATGAGTCGTAACGGAAATACCAAATTATTGACATCATGATAAAAGTTTTTTCCCCTCTAACCTGCATCAAGGTAAAAAAAGCAGATGATTCACTCAACATTTCTTTCAAGTTCACGATTCATGTTGTTGTATTTTCTGCCCTTTTTAATACAATTACAGATAAGAAACACACGCATGATTTTACTGCTTGCACATTTGAAAACGTAAACACGTTGCATTGACAGTAAAGCTTCGTTCAAACGAGGGCGTAAAGGGCATAAGTGGTTAAAGCCAAGCTCCGTTGCCAAGGCAACCAGTCTGTGCAACGTCACAAAATCTGGTTTAGGGCTCGTGACATAGGGTTCAAAGATTTCAACTTTACGCCGAGTGGGATAAGTGTCGACCAATCAGAGTGAAGCTAAAACGAAGCGGTGGTCTACAGAAGATTTCATTGTCACAAAACAAGCAGAGCGAACGCGGGAAATCAGTCGCGCAGGAGAACAGCGCGGGAAAGTTGTAGACACATCCACGCATGCGCAAATTTAGTTTATCTCATTGGCCATGGCTTACACACCGTTCTCACAAGTGCGAACGGAATTCCCGTATTTTATGCCTTTATGGCTATGCGTCTATGGCCTTTACGGCGCCGTCTGAACACAGCCTAATGCAAAAAGTGCAAATTCTGCAAAAGACTGTGGAGGCAGGTGATACTCCTTGGTTTATATCAGAAACATATGGAATTGCGACACGATTGTTTATGATATACGGAAAAATAAAGAAAAGCTGTTAAAATTTTAGAGCAACAGCGATTCTAACACCGGAATCCAAAACCAGAAATCTTTGCATGGGGTGAAATCGGCAAACCTCTATGCTGTGTACATATGATACAATGAAAAATATAATCAATTTATATATGTAATAATTATGCGTATAATAAGTTATTGCAATAATGTATATAATAATTTAATTAAATATATCTATCTAATACGCCTTATTTATTTTGCACTTTTAGTCTGAATATTATGAGTTAGCACTTCTGTCCTGAAATCTGCAAAAATCCTAAAATCTGCACAACCTCTGGTCCCAAGCTTTGCAGATTTCTGGACTTCTACTGTATAATTCAGTTTTATACTTTAATGTTACAGCTATCCCCTTAGAAGACAAAATCAATTACATGTAATTACAGAATTTAGTTAAAACATTAATAAAATAATGCATTTTAGAAGACCTTTGTTATGAAAATACGTTTGTTAGATTCATATTACTCAAAAGTTTTGTTTACTTCATTTGTTTGTATTTGATGTATATTAAAAAAAATAAAGCACAAATGGCACAAAACTACTTGCTTAGCTATAAGATGCAAACTAAATGAACATAAAAATCAAAAGAAAGATTATGTAAATTATAGAAGAATTTAAACCACCTCAGTGGCGGGAACGTATAAGGTACTTTTTGCTTATGTGCCCACAACCACTCCCCCACGGTTGGCCTTTTGTAGTATCTGTACATTGGGGGTGATCCGTTCTGCAGGAAATTAGCTGCCTTCAGAGTGATAAAAACAATTATTTATATGATGGTCCATTTGAGCATGGCAGAAACTGTATAGAAACTATTAAGTTTGACTATAAGTCATTTGCTGTGTTAACACTCATGGTAGCATATTGCATGCAATTAATGTTTATTGAGAGCAATAGAGTTTTTTATAGTATTTTTTAGAAGCATCATACAGAAAATATATTAGAAACATGTTTATTGAATAATATGATTTTATGAATTTTGAGAAATGTTATTCGTTTGAAGAGATGTAAATCATTCCCGTTTGTGATCATCTTCAAATAAAGGTTTGTGAATGAAATATTTCTTCTGATTAAATGTCTTTACACTGCCACCGGAGATCTGGCATCTGGGATAGGATATGTCTGCATTTTTTAAGCTCATTAAGTGAACATTTTCTTTCACTCAGAGTTCACTGCATATTGCATTAATTTTGTGTTGATTAGGAAGCTAATAGTAATCTTTTAAGTACAGTCAAAAGTCTTTAATCAGGACTTCTGCGCATCTGGATTATCGGTTTTTCTGGATTACAGATCATCAGATTAAATCTGGTAAAGATGGCATGCAGAAATTATAAAATTAAAAACATGAAACCATAATTTACGAAATAAAGAACAATTATGATATAAAGGGTATCAAAATTTACAAAAAAAAAAAAAAAAAAAAAAAAAGCTTAATATTTATTTGTTTACTTTATTAAACATTTCTTTCAACACGCACATGTGTAAAGCATACATTACGCATAGTCAAAATTAGAAAATTGCAACCAGAAAACTATTTGATGTATATTCATGATATTTCTAATGATGAGGAGTTTTATTTATCATATCAAAGACAGAGTATGTCGAGATAAAATACTACATTCAGTAAGGAATTATAAGCCAAATAAAATAAAAACATCTACCCTGAAGATAAGGATAGTGCTGACAGATCAACTTCCATTTTATTGCGTGCTGCGACGCCCCCTCCCCCCGCAGAGCAGCGTGAAATTGATAAACAGATTTCGGAATGGTTAGAGAAACAAAGGATATGCCTTTATCCATTTTTTGCAGCAATTCCACTTTTTGTTTGATAGACATCGAAACATGTTTTCGCTTTGTAGATCCTTTGGCAGCTCCAGAATCAGAAATTCTTTTTGTCATAATCGAAAGTTCAAGCTTACTTTTATAAAATTGCTCTAACAGTCTGCAAAAACTAATAAGCTGGATCCAATTAGAAGATTAAGGAACAATGCAATCTGCAACATTAACTGAAATAGATAATTAGATAATTTTAGCTTAGCTTATAACGTCCGTTATACATTAAACACGCATGCATAAACACATGTGCAGTAAGATTGTAACTTTGAGGTCCGGATTATAGATCATTCCGGATTAAAGACTTTTGACTATAGTATAAAAAAGCTAGAAAGCAGCATCAGAGGTTATTTACAAAATCATATAAAAAATTTAACAACGAGAAAGATATATTGGATATATCTGCTAAGATAGCAAAATTAATCAAAGAAAAGGATTTAATTATGGTTGACTGCGATGAAAAATGCTTTTTTTCTGAATATACTGATGAAAGATAGTTTAGAAATAGATGAATTGGAAGCATATACAGATTGATAACAATCATTGCTACTATAATATAATTAAAATCTTTAGAAATACCTTAATCAGGTAATGTTAATTTTGTTGAAAATTGCAGTGTTTTAAGCCAAAATTCACTATTGCATTACCCTAAAATACAACTCCCTTCATTTAATGGTACAATTTTTGGAGCCAATTCCAAAAAATTAATAAGGATCCCGATTTGGATGTGCATGAAAAATTTGCCTATTCATCTCAGTCTATGGAAAAGGGTAGCTTTCCAGAAAAGTTGATAAAAAGACTGTTGTCGAGAACAGTGATTTAGATTTGTTACTCGAATTTCTCTGAGAGGAAGTTGATGGAGAAGAAAGAATATATCTTGCTTTGCAGAGTTTTGAGCAACATAAACTAAGCCAAGTAAGATGTTATAACAGAAATAATTTTGAAAGCAAGATTCTTATTATTGAATTAAAATTTACTAATAATTCCAATTGCAGAGCTCTTTACCTCAGTACAGAGACAAATTTTCTGCATATTTTGCACCAAGTCACATAATTCTTCGAATTGTTTTAAAGACAGAAAAATGACAGAAAATTTTACTGAAAAGTCTCGCTGTTCCATTATGTGCTTAAAATCTGGTCATGAAATACGAAAATGTAATGTAAAAGACAGTTGCTTGAGTTGTGGAAAGAAACAGCATATTTTACTGTGTAGAAATTTAAATCAGCATACCTCTATGTACACCAATGAGGAGGCTTGCTTATCAGACTGGAAGCTATGAATATCACCAACACTTTTTCTGGAGGAAGCAACACAGAAGTGTGTAAACATGACATGTTTACATTGTATTTATCAAGTATTAATGGAACTTATAAATGCGACTTCAAAGTATTAAGTCATGAAAGAGCTTTACATTTAAAACGGTAATATATGCATTGCAGACCCCTATTTAAGTTTCAATTGGTGCCGATGTAGCTAGAAAGCTAATGACTAGTTGTCTTAATGTTACCTAGTGGTTTGACTGCCATTGAGATACATCTTGGATGGACTATGATGGGATGCATACCAAATTTTTTAAAAGATGAAAATACAATACATATTTATTTGTCATTTTCCCATTACCAGTTAATGAGTCAATAACAGATTTGAGGTTCCTGGACTCACTTGGAATTACTGATCTATATGCACAAAAGACAACAGCTGAATTAAAGAAATCTGTGAGGGCTTTATAAAATCTGATCTATTTATAAAGGTGGCTAACATGGAAGACAGTCATTATGTTGTGTACTTACCTTGGATAGAAAATCATTCTGCTGAAAATTATGATTTAGCACTAAAAAAGATTGAATGTTGTGCAATGTCTTAAGTCCCAATCATTGTATAAAGTATTTGTAATTTTTTTTTTTTTGATTGGCTTAAAGAGCAGACTATAGAAGATGGGAAAGATCAACAGAGAATTGTAATATACTATTCACCCAACTGTCCCATTTTGAAGGAAGAATACTAGAATAAGTCTGCCAAACTAAAGGGGGTCACTGAGCTTCAAAGATTGTTTAGAAAAAGGAGAAAATATTACCGAGTTAATTATAATTTAAATTTGTTTCTGTAAAAAGAGAATAGGTGTTACTGCACCTAAAAACAAAGATTTTCTTCTTTTTTTCAATGGCCTGACAACAACGGCTAGTTGAAACAGTATTGACATGGTGCAGTTGTGTCTGGAGTGTCTTCAAGTCCATTCCTTTTAGGTTCTGTGATACAGCATTATATACAAGCTGTTATAAAAGATATACACTCCAGAAATTCAACATACCCACTAGAAGTCATAAAAAAGCTGAGCAGAAGCTTCTATGTTGACAACTGTATTTCCAGTGTAAAAATGAGGCAGATCTTCAAATATTTAAGACGATATCTGGTGAGAGTATGAGATCTGGCAAGTGAAGAGAATGACGATATTCAAGCCTCATATTGCCAATATGTTCTCCAGATTTGAATCCCACTGAAAATGTTTGTTAAGCTATTGATCAGCATCGTAATCATTTCAGCTTCTCTCATAAAAGGATATTTTTTGCTCACTTTCAGTTTAGTAATCTTATAGATTAATAATTTACTTTTAAAACAAAAGTAAATCAGTGGTGAAATACACAAGTGATGTGATCTGTTTAAATTACAATTCAGGAATTTAATTCTGATTTTTAAGTTAAAATGTAATGCATTCCAGATAACGATTCAACAAATTAAACAACTTTCTATACCCAACAAGAGGCATATGTTTTAACAGCAAAAATCAAAACAAATTTGATTTTTTGTTTTTGGTTCATTTCATTTGTACATTTTCTACTTCACACTCTATTATAGTATGTATTCAGTATCTTGACGATGCAGACTAGGCAGTATAGTTAATCTTAAAAGATATGGGAAAATTGTTTTACCCCCCCCCCCCCATTTCTCAATTCCTTAACTGTAGATCAACAGCAAATTATGATTTCAATAAAAAATGCAGAAAAATTTGGATTTATACACAAAAATTAAAAAAAAAAAAAATTGCTATGTCTGTAATAAAGAACAAAACTTCAAACCTTTTGAATTTCTGACATTTAATGCTTATAATGTAAATATTATCTGGTTACTCACTTTCATTACTTTTCACTTTAACTATGCAGGACAGCTTCAGAAAATAGTTAGGAAGTCTTATTAGAAGTTAACACACTAAAAATGTCAAGTTATAAATTCGACATAACTGCATTACTTTTCATTATAATCTAATCTCAATAAATAGAATTTATTGTATTGAGCTTTCAACTACAAATGAAGCTTTATTTAAGACAAATATCAGATCAGAATATTCAAAACAATAACAATAATTACAATGAAGTAATTAGAATATACTGCAAGCAAACAAGAACAAACAACTTAATGCAAAATTAAAATACTTGTTTAAAAAAAAAAATCTCTACAGGGAGTAACATAACAAACACAAATACTTACAGCTGGTATTAAAACTCGATTCAAATGAGATTTTGTATTTTTCACTAATTCTGCAGAACTAGTTTTTTCAATTATAAATATGCCTAAAATATCAGAAAGGAAAGATATATATAATAACAAGTAAGTTATAAAAAACAGAAATTTTGTCTTCACATAATACAGACATTAATTTTTCTTTCATGTCATTAATCTTCAATTACATTAACTAATACTATTTCATTTAAATTTATTCTTACTTTCTCTGGCAGCTAATACATCAGTAAGTTTAACAGATGGATGCTTCTTTAATTTGTTTCGAAGAGACACATAGGCATCTACAATTCCATGTTCTTTTCCCTATACAGAAAAATGTTTTTATTGTTATTTTAGAGTAAAACCAATATGAATTATTTTTGGAATTTGAATAATTCATCCTCATTTAGGTTTAGAAAAGACAAACTGTGTCTCCCCTTCAAATAAATGAATTAGAAGAAAATCTCCAATTGCATGACTTGACATATTTTTATACTGCTTGACAATAGTTAAGGAACAGACATATTTCGTGACAGAAGAAATGAAACTTAGCATATATATGTATATTCTTTATGATGCAAAATGGTACAGATTTCATCACATGGGAAAAGAAAGCAAGAAAAAAGATGCTCACTGCAGCAATTTAAAGCAATCACAGAAAATGCTACCTCTTGTAAGAATGATGACAGATACTAATCCCCCCAGTTGGATGTGTGATCTTCTTCGATACTAATGTAAATTTTATATCTGTTATGTATTCTCTTTGCTTAACTGTTAAAGAGAGTTTGCATGACATTGTCTTATTCATCATTCAAGATGATTTTGAATTTCTTCATGGTTCAAGATGAATAATTTCATCACACAAACACATTTACCAAGAATGTAAGAGGCATGTTCTGTGGGATTTAAGTTTGGAGAATATGCAAACCATGAATTAAGTGGCACCCCTTTCCACTATCTTGGACATTTCAGATGTCTTGTGTAGGTGTGCACTGTTGTCTATGAACAGAAACATCTAGATGCACTCAATGATGGAAAAAGATGGACATTGCCTAGCATCTCAATGCAGTATTTATGTCAAAATGAGAAGTAATGTTCTTCTAATGTGCATAACTTTCTTTTATAATGATCTCTCTGCCATATTGATCAATTTCATGGATATTCTGCTATTGGGAAAAGGTGGTTCTCTTCTCTGTTCATATTGGTTAGTGTCCAAAATCATTCTGGATCACTGTTGCAGAAACAAACAAACATGTGCTCACTTCAATCTTTTCCGAAAATAGTGCATGCATTGAATGATTTTGGTATATTTTATACTTGTGAGCTACCTCCCTATAAAACAGAGAATGGCGTTCCCAGTTAGCTTTTCAAATAGTAAAACAGCTAATCACATGTTTCATTTTTCAATAAGATTTTTAAATTCAAAATTTTATCCATTTAACATATTCAGATTTCTAGCAACAAATAAAAATGAATTGCCTTATGACTTATCTCAATTATCTGATAGTAACAGCAAAACAAGTACATGGACGTTATCACAGTGAGGAGGGCACGGCTGTGCCTGTCATTGGCATGGGTTTTATAGGTGACAGTGTGACAGCTGAGCGTCGTACCAATTTTGAAGCAGAATCTTCTTTTGGCAGGGCAGCTTAGTAGCACCTGAGCATACAGCCAATGTATCCCACCAATAGTTGCCTTGCACGTTAATACATAGTACTATGCTAAGGAAAAGCAATTTAACAAGTAATAACGAATGTATACTGCAAGCAAAATAGATTAAAATAAAATACAGAACAAAAACTTATGTTGAAATTTGGTGCCTGAACCAGGTAATGTAACTTAAATGTACAGAAAATCAATCAATATTTAATACACACAGAAATAAATAACAATGATTATGATATCAGTAACAGATGCAGCATACATTGTGATAGTGAAGTAAATGGCAGTTACATAGATACACTGCAAAGTCCGAGATCCGGACTTGTCAATACTTCAGTTATTCCGGTTTTCAGAAATTTCCAGATTTTAAATCATTAGTTTAATTCTAGTAAGATGTAGTGATTCCAAAATAAAAAATTTAAAATAGTTTTTCTGAAATAATGAACCATTTATAATTTTAAAGGAACCAATAACAACTAAAAAACCACCTCATTATTTATTTGTTTTATTCAACACTTCTTTCACTGTTTCTTTCAAAGTTTTTTAAGTTGCTTCATTTTTCATGCTAAGTTTTTCTCTTTAATTTTGTACGGAGACATAACTTCTTGTTCAGTTACAAACCCTGCAATTGCCCTGTTGAGAATTCCCACTAAACAGTCAAGTGAAATTTTTTCATTCTCAAAAATCTCTTTGTCATTTTTATCAATATCAGTAGGGATATTTTCAGGATTTAAAACCATACAACAGATTTCATCAAGTATTAGTTGATTGCTGATTGGGCATTGTCATCCCAAAAGAATATTTCTGTTATATTCATTTATTACATTTCCATATTTTTCACAAATTCCACTAATTGAAAAATGTTGCCTTCTATAGTGTTCAAAATCTAAGCCAAAATAAGGTTGCTATTTTGTCTAATTTTGAAATCGTCCTTTCTTGGACCCAAATTAAGCCAACACCATTTTCTTATTCCAAAGCATGACAGAAAACAAATACCAAAAAAACTTTTGGTTTGCAGATCCTACTACAGCTTCAGAATTACTATATTCTCTCCTGTACAAAAATAATCCCCTCCCCCCAAAAAAGCAGATGAAAATCAAGAGGTGGCTCATACATGTGAATAATTAGAAATGGGTATACAGTCAAAAGTCGTTTATCCGGACTCGTCGGGACTTTGGCGATTCCGGATTATCGATTTTTCTGGATTATAGATCATCAGTTTAAATCTCGTAAGATGGCATGCAGAAATTCTAAAGTTAAAAATATGAAACCGTAATTTATGAAATAAAGAACAATTATGATCTAAAGGGTATCAAAATTTACAAAAAAAAAAAGCTTAATATTTATTTGTTTACTTTATTAAACATTTCTTTCAATGTAAGTTGTTTAAGTTGTTGCTTCGTTTTTTATGATGATAATACTTTCTCTTTAATTCTATAAACAGACATAATTTCTTGTTCAGTTACAAAGTTCCGCTGTTCAAGTCCCGTTAATTGCTGTGCCGAGAATACCGACTAACTTGTCAATCGAAATTTTTTCGTTTTCACTAACCTCTCTGTCACATTCTTCATGTCTTTATCCATTTTTTGCAGCAATTCCACTTTTTGTTTGTTGGACATCGAAACATACTTTCGTTTTGTAGATCCTTTGGAAGTTCCAGCATCGGAAATTCTATTTGACATAATCGAAAGTTCAAGTTTACTTTTATAAAATTGCTCTTACAGTCTGCAAAAAATAATAAGCGGGATCCAATTCGAAGATTAAGGAACAACGCAATCATTAACATTAACTGAAATAGATAATTAGATAATTTTAGTTTACACCGTCCGTTATGCATTAAACGCGCAGGCGAAAACGTATTTCTGCACTTGCGCACACGCATATGCGCAGTAGTCAAGGACTTACGCGCAAGCGTAAAATGCCTGTGCGCATGTGCCAACGCGGCGCATGCGCAGAAATTTTTTAGCTTTGAGGTCCGGATTATAGATCATTCCGGATTATGGGTGTCCGAATTAACGACTTTTGACTGTATAAAAATATATGGCAACACAGCAGCACATTTAACGATTGAGTATAAATCCATTGTTGTTGGGTAAGAGTACTTGAGATAATGATACCGGTAGTGCATGCAATTACTGTTGTGGTATCAATAGTGACAATGAATAAGAGGTGTTAAACACAGAAGCATGTTCCTTTTGGGGGGGAGAAAGGTTTCAGGGTGGGGTAAGTACTGTTTTCATTTTAGTTGCTTTCATACATTCAATATATATATATATAGTACATGACAGACAGGCTATCTGCAGTAGACTTGAATATATATTTTTTAAAATTTAAGGTTAAAAACTAAGGGTGCAGCTTATACACGTGAGAAAAGGATAAAATGGCTTTTTGACATAACTGAAAATTCATACTACAATTTGGATACGAGAGCTATAATAATAATAGCCAGGAAAAATAATGAACTGGGTCAAACTAATTTCTTTCTCTCTTCCCGCTGCTATGTCAACAAAAGAAAACAACATTAGTAACAGCTAAGTCCAAACAAATACATCTTACTTAATGTTTAGGTTAGAAAGTAAAATATTATCTCCTCCTACCACCTCCACAATCACTCAAGGTTAAAAGTATGGTCATGGCTGATGTCAATTGATGTATAATCATTGTCCATAATGGTGCGATTCCTTGGCCAGAAGGTGTTTGAAGGTGACATACAGGAATCTCAGTTAGTCGGAAGGAAAATTGATTTTATTACACACCTGCTTTTTCTTTACTGTATTCTCCATTTCCAAATTTTGAATTAAAAGAAGAAAATATGTAGGTGGCCCAAACAGGGCTAATTTCTAAAATTAGAACTGCCGGAGCCCTATGGAAGATCGTCAGCAAAGAGGAACAAAAGTAAATAAACAAAATGACTATTAAAATCATTAATAATTTAAAAATTATATAGTTAATAATTAATTATCAAATTAATTCATAATTACTTAATTAATATTACCATTATTTAATAATAATTATTATTTAATTAAATAAAAATTAATTATTTATCTAGATAATTACAGATTAAGGTAATTAAGTAATTCAAATTAAATAAAATGTAAAGAGACAAAATAAAATTTAATAAGCGATTTTTAATATAATTTTATTGTAAAAAATAAAATTTTCGAGATCAAATTTCTACTGAAATTGTTGTTCAGTTACATAAAATAAGTGCCGGAGTTTTCATATTTAGGGCTCCGATGCGTTCCGCCTAGAATTATGATTTTCCCCAAAAATAAGAAGTAGCGGAGCCGGGCTCCGGTGCAATTTAAGCTCTGGGCCCAAAGGCAAGGATATCAGACTTTGCACTGCATTGCACTTGTTGTTATACCATATATAGTTAATGAAATACAAACATGATCAGTAATAATAACACTCCTTCATTAAAAAGAAGAATGAAGAAATAAATCATCTACTTTCATAATACCGATGCAAGCAACCAGTCAAAATGAAATACTGTATGCTGATGTACAACACTAAATGTAAGAAGAAATATAGATTTTATGGATCTCAGTGTGAGTGAATACTGATGCATTATCTGCATTAAATATGAGTAAGTCTTAATATTAATACGATTCAGAACAAGTATTAAGAATATTCCATATGGATATGTTGACAGTTGGTGT